TTTATGTAGGACTTCTCAAATGATAATAGGATAAACATGTGAAATGGGGATAATGTATATGTCTATACACTGTTGTATTATCTTCCACTGTTCCGTAGTCACGAGCAGTAGAGACGCGTTGCAGTAGAGAAAAGATCGCGGAAGCAGTATGACAACGAATGTGTGCATCGTAACAGTGAAAATATATATTGCGAATTGCAAACAGAATAAAAAACTACTTTAATGTGTGATTAATATGCAAAGTCATAATATTCGTTTATACACAAGTGTAATTTTTAGTACATTTATTTGCGATACGTTTTTGCATCTTGGGTGCTATAAACCAAGAGACATCGATGCTATGCAGAGTAATGATCAAAGTTAGAGTATAAAAAGTAATTATCCACATATTTAGACCGATCGATATATTTTAGTAGTAAAAATGTACAGTGATATAAAAATATTTACTTATGATATAAGAATGATATATTACAATCATCGTAATTTAACAATAGCTTTAAAATAGTGAAAATAAATTGTTATTATGAATATAAGAGAGTGAACACCAAATAAAAATAAAATATTTTTTATAAAAAATCTGATATAGATTTAAGGATGTATACCGTATCGTATAGATAGTCAGATTTGCCATAAAAGATGTCTATTAGTCGCGATATAAAGAAAAGTTGTGATAAATTTAAAGGAATATTAATTATTAACTGAACGGAAATAGAAATATGTTCAAATTGAAATTTTATTTTCATTTGTAAAAAAATGTTCTATACGTATATCTATACTCTTTCTTATAGTTCGCTTGAGTGAAGAAGAATTGTCAAGTTTGACTGCGTCGTCATTCTCTTGTAGGAAAGAGCTGATAACAAATAATTTTTATTAACTCTTTATCTATTTTTTTTCGTTCTTATTCTCTTTATTCCTTCTTTTTAATAACATCTGCGCATTCGTATATAAGATAGGACCAATTTGACCCCATTATTAAGGCTGCCTGTTGCAAATAACGGATTATCTTCGAGAGTGCTGGTTCAACCTGAATCGATCGCAATTCAGTTTCAACATTCGCTCAACCCGCTAACCGACTATGAGTGACCAGTTCGCAATTTACGTGACGCCGTAACTTTGTCAAAGTTATTCGCGTAAAATATCACAGATTATCACAGAATTGTGAATTACATCCGTAATCCACAGAATTATGTATTACATCCGTAATTCGCGGGTCGATATTTTTAATCAATGTCAATCGCATTTGCGCAAATTGCGATGTATACATCGTGATTTTATATAGTCGAAAATTATGATTGTGTATTCGAGAATATTTAATTAATAGATCTTTTGTCATGTTTCACAGACGGTATCGATCTTGATATTACCGCGCTATTCGTATCGCTAGATCTTCGTCTTTATTGATGAGTGAAAAAATACATATATTTCAATATTTTAATTTATTTTTATCATTCAAAGAGAGAAATGGAGAAGAAGGGGAGAGAGAGAAGGAAAAGATAAAAGAAGCAGATCTTCAGATGGTATACCACTGATGTAATCGCCACAACGGCTTTTGGCATAAGCGTGCATTCTATGAAAGATCAAAACAACGAGTTTTATGTGAAAGGAATAGAGACCAGCAAGGCTTTCTCCGGATTCCTAACTATATTCAAGTTTATGTTTATGCGTGTATTTCCGCATTTTGCCAAGTTGCTCGGTATGACGGGATTCAGCTCAGCATCTACGGCTGAGTTTTTCAAAAGGATTGTTGGAGAGACCATCAAAGTTCGAGACGAGCAAGGTATCGTCAGGCCGGATATGATTCACTTATTAATGCAGGCTCGGGACAAGAACGGTCCCAACGTTCACAAAATGACATTGGATGATATCGTTTCGTAAGCTTTCATCTTTTTCTTAGCTGGTTTTGAAACATCCTCGACGCTGATGTGTTTTGTTGCTCATGAGCTGGCAGTTAATCGAGACATTCAAGATCGTCTGCGCGAGGAGGTGCAGCAGCATCTTGCCGAAGATAACGAGATCTCTTACGAATCGCTGTCGAAGATGACTTATATGGACATGGTGATTAACGAGACGCTCCGAAAGTATCCACCAGCGAGCTTCATCAATAGATGTTGCACTAAAAGTTATGAGCTGCCTCCGTCGCAGCCGGGTTGCAAGAGCGTAATCGTCGAATCTGGTAGTGTAATGGTAATATCCATTTATGGTTTACATCGTGATCCCAAATACTTTCCGAATCCGGACAAGTTTGATCCCGAAAGATTCAGCGAAGAAAACAAAGACAATATTGTTCCGTATACTTACCTACCTTTTTATATTTGATATTTTACTTTGTATTAATAATAAAAATTATTATTCTATTATTAATACAAAATAAAATATTAAATAGAAAATTTTAATCAGAACTTTTGCTACTAGAGCTACTTATTGCGCTATTACATTTGTGATACGCACGTTTCTGAGACTAAGTGACGCGCTCCTTAGTTACGAGCGTCTGGCGCTGCGTTGCTAAGACGCGAGCAGTAAGAGGGGAGCAGTAGGCCTGAGTCAAGAAATCTGGCCTAAAGATGCAAGTAAATCCTAGCAGTTATTATATAGCATATTATCAAAAACGACAGACGTAGCAAGTAAAATGTTACAAAGATCTAGATCTAACATAAATAAATCTACAAAAATATTAAATAAAGTAATAAAATTTTAAAATGATATTAGACGTAATGAAGCATTTAATAAATACAATATATTAGTGATGCTCAAGTTTTGGTCGCTGAAATAAATATATCTGTCAAATTTGCAATTGTTCGTAATAGAAAACAAAAATAAGACATTTTAGTTATGAATGCGCAGACGAAACATTAACAGATCCAAAAGAAATTTTGAAGATTGAATTTTATTTCGTAATATCAGATACTGCCTTAACAACAATTCAAGAAAGATTTCAAACTTTGAATGAATGTAATAATTTATTTAAATTTTTGTGCGAGTTTTATAATTGTCAGAAGAGAAATTAAAAAAACTTGTTTTTTTAATTTAGATTTAACTATACAAATTGACAGAAAATTCAATATCTAAAGATATAAATGGTTTGGAATTATTTAATAAATTACAAACATATAAAATAATACAAAAAAGCTTATCAGATCCGTTACAAAATTTAGATTATTGATATTATTGAGAATAATTTATAGTCATCACATTTCCTAATTTGTTTAAATCTTTAAGAATATTTTTAACATTGTCAATAACTGCTGCATCTAATAAAAGAAGTTTTTCAAAATTAAAATTAATAAAGAATTATCTGTACTCTTCTATAAGTCAGGATCGATTAACTCGAATTAGGACTTTTAGCTATAGAATATGAACTTTGTGAAAGTTTAGATTTATTTGATATTGTAGACGATTTAGCTAGAGAGTAAGAAATCTAGAGAAGTTCATTGTGGTAATAAAAAAATACTTTTATTTTTATTTCTTTGTGCAATTTTTTAAATACATATGTTTACGAAATACAATTTTTTAAGTACGTATGTTTACGAAATATATACTTTGTATGTTTATACATGTACATTTTGTGTTGTTTTATTTTTCTACACATCCACATAAGGGCGTAAAAATTGTTTTCGCACGCAGACTAAGGAGCCAGAACCGACTCTGCATATATATACGTGTGTATACAAAATATTAAATTTATACAAGAAAATTTTAAATTAATTTTAAATATTTTAAAGGTAATTTTTTTCACAATTCCGGCTTTTTATTTAGAATTTTGGGTAACATCCCACGAGATATAAAAGAAACTCTTAACATTTTTATGCTTCAACCAATATTGTAAGAGATATCACCGTATGATATTTTGCGAAAACCTGACAATATATCTATTATCGGGTAATCATATGAACGTGAAAGAATTAATTATCGTTGTTAATGATAAAACTATTTCGACTTCGAAAGAACACGGTTAAAACTATAGGAAAACATAATAATTATAGAATATAATAATTAATAGAATATATATTCAGAGTTTGGAAATCACAAGTTTCCATATGTGTCATATAAAGATACATCCAAATATTTGAAAGGATAGATTTTTTCACATTTCCGATTTTTTATTTAGAGTTCTAGCAGTCCATGAAACATAAATGAAACTATTAACATCTTTATGCTCAAACCAATATTGTAAGAAATGTCGCGATTTTTTAAATCATTTTTGTCTATTATTATTTATAAAAACTAAAAATGGCGCATTTTATAATATTTTATAATATAACACACACATATATAATATTCTAATATTATGCCGTGAGCAGCTCTCATCGAGATATCCACTTTTAATCTAAAGGTATGTTAAATCGATACTTGCAAGTATTTTTATCTCTTTTCCGCGATACTGATTGCTTATCTCAACGTTGCGCTGTGCATTACTTTATATCAATAAAAGCCTATCATAACTGAGTGACGCATTTGACAGTTCAAATATTAAGTGTGTGTGTAATTTTTATTTAATTTATTTTGAAAAAACAGAGAACTAGGTTTAATATATGTGTATAAGTAATTAAACACACATATACACACAAAATAAATGGCGCGCGCATTGTTTATTAAGCGCTCTATAGTTTACTAAAAATAGTAGAAAAATCTCTCTCTCCTTCTCTCTTTCTGTAAATTACACGGTTTTTTTATTTCTTGCAGTTGATTTCAAGGGGTATTCGCGATCAAAAGTTCTTGTCATAAATTTAAAAAAATATTAATTACAACTATTTTCTTTTACGAAAACGTTAAAAACTATATCATTTTGTGATACTTTAATTCTTTTTATATATTTGATTTTTCTTCATTCTTCTTTCATTCCTGATTTATTTATTTAATTTTTCAAACAATATAAACGTAAGAAATATGTTTATTTTTTTATTTTGACGGTATTTTGCTACTATTGTATAGTCAAAAAATCCTTAAATCTTTTTATATGGTTGCAACAAAAACAACATGTTTTTTTTTCCAAGTATGTATATAGTAGTATATTTGTATGTATATTTGATATTATGCGAAAAAGAATTGTTGAGATTTGGCACGAATGGATGGTCATATGATATGATTATAACTAGTTTTATTAAAAAAACCACATTATAATAAACTTTTGCTTCTACAGATTTTTATATTTCTGAATGTTCTCAAAACATTTTTAATTTGTAAGATTCTTTCATTATACGCATTATTTTATATCTCATGTTTCTACCATTACGCGGAGTACGGATAAATACGAAATGGAGGTTTTCAGGATGCTCATATAAGTTGCCAGGTTTACCACAATAAAATTTCCAGCTTGCAATTTGACGGGAAATTGTGCCCGCATAATGACGAAGATTAAATTTTTCGTTAATTTTGCAGGAAGGTCGTACCAAACGCTCTGATAAATAAAAAGTCCAATCTCTTCCATTTGGGATTTCAGATAATCCCCAACGAAACTATACACTGTTAGTTGTGTCAAGAAAGTACACAATACCATGAAGCTTTTCCCCATCATGACGGCATCATTCCTTTTTAACGCTAAGATAAATTGAAACCCTGAAACAAAATATTTACATTTAATACATGTTGATATATGTGAACTTTTCTCTCTCTCTCTCTCTCTTTCTCTTTATGACACAATTTTTTTTATGAATCTATTATAAGTGGCATAAAATATTCACCCATTATACATAATAGGATGCTGCTAAGAAATAACTGCATCAATAAAACAAAACTGATCGTATTGGCCAATTCCTTAGCCATTTCTATCAGATAGCTATTCCTGTGAATTAAAGCGTTAAAACGGTCGTAGACTTGCGAACTTGAAACATCAAAGTCGATGAAATTGGCTTTCAAAATTTTTGCTTGGCCACAAACGTGTAGTGTGATGTTGAGAAACAGAGAATCGTTACCTTTACATAAAAGAAATTTATTGAGAAAGATTACTATGCAGATTACTAGGTAAAACTGCATAAAAGATAACAAACCTCCGATTTTATTGCCACTTAAATATGTTGTAGAGGAGGTTCTTCTGAGTAATTCCCCGCAAGAATTTTTGTGGGTGACCGCATTAGTCTAAAAGATATAACAAATTGATATTTGATATTAAAATATGTATATACTGTATAACTTATTATTTTTTCATTGATAAAAACTGTTTATGATCTTCTAAGTTGTCAACGCACTTTCCTATCTACATTTTCTCAGTCCCATAATTGTGGGATGGACTTCGCTTCGCGTTGTGAAGTATATGCGTGGACAGTGAGTTCCGCCCCTCCTACAGGGGGACTCTACTTCCGGAAGATGTAACCTAACCCAAACCTATTTTCAATTTTTAAAATTTTACCATTATTTTTCCTCATTTCTTCTTATTCCGACGAAAAATATTATTCATTGAATTCGTGGGCGGGGGAGAAGCTCAACCCCTCCTCCTGCGCCCCAACCCCAAAGAAATCTAACTTAACCCAACCCAACTTTATTTTTAAAACTGAAAATAAGTTTGGGTTAGGTTACATCTTCCGGAAGTGGAGGCCCCCCCCCTTGAGGGGCGGAACCCACTGTGTGCACGCATATACTTTAAAAA